ATTCACCAGATTTGAGGACAGCACGTGCGATCATGCAACAGCAGGAGCCTTTGTTAGTAATTACGTCGTCTACCAATAATTGCCGGAACCAGGCCCGGCATGCTAAACGCGTTGTTTCGTGCGTCGACCTGCTCATTCTTCGACGTGCAACCGGAGTCCGCCGCTGTGCAGAGGCATCCGGCAATACAGTTTTTGCTTCAATGTGAAAGGTCGCGCAGGATTTCAAACAGTCATTTTGGCAAATTGTTTTCTTTGGTGACAAACAGCCCGTATCTTGCATCGGAGTTGAAAGCAGAATTGTCCAAGTCCAGTGTGTTCACATCAGTGTTTTCCCAACGTTTGGAGCTAGATGGAGGAATGCACATTTCGTCATTTCTGTCGCCGAGGGTACGTGCAGCTGTTTTGAGAGGATTCCGTGAGCAGTTGAAGGCAGACGGGAAAGCCTACCCGTTCTCAATTGGCACAATCTGTTGTGAAGAGCCCAGTTTTGATTTCGACGAATGGTCTTGCCAGCAGGAAGTTTTTGATGACAACGCATGTGCTACACTGCCAAAGCAACTAGTGAAAGAAGCAACGGCGAAAGAAATTGACGAAAACAAGAAACATGAAGTCTACGTTAAAGTCCCCAGATCAGAAGCATTTGAAGTCACAGGTACCCCCCCCCCATCTCAACACGATGGGTAATAGTAAACAAAGGGGACGAGACGAATCCAGAAATCAGGGCACGACTGGTAGCTAGGGAGGTGAAGAGAGACAGACGCACAGATTTGTTCGCAGCCACACCCCCGCTTGAGGCGAACAAGTTTTTGTTCAGTCAGGTGGCAACCCAAAGGGTCCACAAATCAGGCACACCTTTCAATATTCGTTTCATTGATGCTGTTCGTGCTTCACTCCAGGTGTCAAAGAGTCGTTAGATTCTGACTCTGATTTCAAACCACTTTCTCCAGAAATGGTCAGAGCATTCAGATCTTTGTGTATGAAAATAAATTACGTAGCACAAGACAGAAGCGACATTCAGTACGCAGCGAAAGAGCGTGCGAGAGGAATGCAGCAACCAACGTTCGGCCATTCGAACAAAATTGAAACGACTTGCGCGTTATTTGAAAGGCCGACCGAGGATCATTTTATAATACCCGTTTCAAGAAACATGTTCGTTTTCAGATGTAGTTGTTGACGCAGACCATGCAGGATGTTTAAGAACACGCAAGAGCACGAATGGAGGGGCATTGATGTTTGGTTCGCACACAATTAAATCTTGGAGCAGCACACAACGCGTAATTGCATTAAGCCCCGGGAGGCAGAGTTTTACGGAATAGTGAAAGGAGCGATTGTCCTTTTAGGAGCTTTGCCATTCGCATCTGATTTTAGTATTGTTTTGAAAGGGCGCCTGAGCGCTGACAGCTCAGCAGCAAACGGGATCGCATCCAGGCGAGGGCTGGGTAAAGTGAAGCACCTTCACACCCAGTACTTGTGGGTTCAAGAGAGACTCACAAACAACGACTTCGTCATCCGAAAGATCGGCACTGACGACAAAACGGGCGGTCTCATGACAAAGTATTTGGACAGACCGAAGATAGACCGATTCGTAATGGGACTCGGTTACACCACGCGTGAAGGAAGACACGAAGTGGCTCCACACGTTGCGAATGTAAATCTTGATTTGAATTTGTTGGAGGAACAGGAATGGCTTGAGCCTGGCTCTGCGCAAGCAGCCAGAAACAAAAGCAAAACGATGTTCTTTGACATCAGCGGCAATGCGCCCAAGAAGGCGTAACCGCAACATCCGTGCATCCCCGCTCCACTACCCAGGTTAGTAAAACCATGTAGAGTAGAAAAACGCAGTGTACGAGGAACTGCTCGCCCGAGGTGTAGGAGGAGTGTGGGGAAATATACGCACCTTGTGTATCGTAGCAGAACTGCGCGCGATTCCGCAACAATGTCAGATCTCAAGAAAAGGCATACATATCATACTATCATTTCACCTCCTCCTCCTCCTCCTTTTCCTCTTCCTCGTCGTCCTCCTCCTCCTCCCTGTCAGTCTCCTCCTCGTCCTACTCGTCCTCCTCGTCCTCCCCTTTCTCCTCCTCCTCCTCTTCCTCCGCTCCCTCCCTCCCTCCCTCCCCTCCTCCTCCTCCCCCTCCTTTCCTCCTCCTCCTCCTCCTCCTCCTTCTCCTCCTCCTCCTCCTTCTCCTCTTCCTCCTGTTTCTCCTCCTCCTCCCTCTCCTCCTTGTCTCGTCCTCCTCCTTCTCCACCTCCTCCTCCTCCTCCTCCTGCTCCGCCTCCTCCTCCTCCTCCTTTTTCTCCTCCTCCTGCTCCGCCTCCTCCTGCTCTTCCTCCTCCTCCTCCTCCCTCCCTCCTCCTCCTCCTCCTCCACCTCCTCCCTCCTCTTCCTCGTCTACCTGCTCCTCCTCTCCCGCCTCTTCTCCTCTCCTCCTCCTCCTCCCTCCTCCTCTCTCGCCTCCTCCTCCTCCTTCTCCTCCTTTTCCTCCTCGTCCTCCTCCTCCTCCTCCCTCCCCTCCTCCTCCCTCTCCCGCTCTTCCTCCTCCTCCTCCTCTTTTCTCCGTCTCCTTTTCCTTCCTCCTCCTCCTCTCCTCCTCCTCCTTCTCCTCCTCCTCCCTCTCCCCTTCGTCCTCCTCCTCCTCCTTCTCCTCCTCCTTCTCCTCCTTCTCCCTTCTCTTTCTCGTCCTCCTCCTCCTCCCTCTCCTGCTCCTCCTCCTCCTCCTCCTCCTCCTCCTCCTTCTCCTCCTCCTCCTCCTCCTTTCACCTCCTCCATCTTCTCCTCCTCCTCTTCTCCTCCTCCTCCTCCTCCTCCCCTTCCTCCTCCTCGTCTTGCTCCTCCCCTCCCTCTCCTCCTCCTCCTCCTTCTCTTCCTCCTCCTCCTCCTCTCCCTTTTCCCCCCTCTCACTCTCCTCCTCCTCCTCGTCGTCCTCCTCCTCCTCCTCATCCTGCTCGTCCTTTTCCTCGCTTCTCCTTCTCCTCGCTCTCCCCTCTCCTCTCTCGCTCTCGGCCTCGCTCCTCCTCCTCGTCCTCCTTTTTGTTCGTACTCCTCCATCTCACACTCCTTCATTCCCTTTCTCCTCCTTCTCCTCCTCCGCCTCGTCCTCCTCCATCTCACACTCCTTCGTCCTCCTCCTCCTTCTCCTCCTTCTCCTCCTCCGCCTCGTCCTCCTCCATCTCACTCTCCTTCATTCCTTTTCTTATACATACCCTCTCCCTGTCATATTCCTTTTCTTGGCGGACCGGGCGTTTCAGACTTCTTCACCAGATATGGCCCTGAATCTAAAACCAGTGGTAACAGTTTCACAGATGGAGGGCGGTTGGTTTTCAACATGTGGCCCTCGTCTGAACGCCGCGCACACTCGATTTGAAGATTTGCAAGAGCTTCACGGATTGAAGGCGGGTGGTTTTCAACATGTGGCTCTCACCTCAGCGCCGCGCATATTCTTTTTAAACCTTTGCAGAAGTTTCACGGGTTGAGGGCGCATCGTTTCCAACATGTTGCTCTCTCCGTAGCGCCGCACACGTTCGCTTATAGCTTATACCTATACGACCACCCTGCGGGTGATAAGGAGGTTGGGGGGCAGCAGTGGGCAAAAGTGGTGAGTGTTGTTCTGACGATGCCTGTGGGGCGGAGTCTAGTGAGTAGTGTGATTGTGCACGTGAGCGTGATGTGACGTGGCGATGTTGGCGAAGCGCACTCGACATTGTCGTGAAGCACTGTCCCCGCGTGCGCTTATCAATCGCGCGAACCTCACCTCAGCGCTAGTCGACGTGGTCGAACGTGCGTGCTGCGGTGCCACAGTGACTGCTCGCGGCGCCACCCGATGCTGCCTTGGTTGCAGGTCTGGCCGCGGCCCAGCCACAGGAGGATTTCGGGACACCAGCGGGACACCGGCGGGACACCGCGGGCCACCGGCCGCCGGAGGAGAAACATTTGGTCCGGTTGCGGCCCAGCCACATGAGGATTTCGGGATACCAGCGGGACACCGGCGGGACACCGCGGGCCACTGGCCGACGGAGGAGAAACATTTGGTCCAGCCGCGGCCCAGCCACAGGAGGATCCCCTCTCGCCCGCCCACGCAGCTTCGCCTCGCTCGCACGCGCGCACGGCACGCACGACACGAACCCGAAACCGTTATCGATTTCCGGGTAGGGGGGGGGTCCGTTCCACGTCGGACTCACCCCCCAGCCTCCGTTACTTGCAAGAGTTTCACGGGTTGAGCGCGGGTCGTTTTCAACATGCGGTTCCCTCCGTAGCGCCGCGCACACTCGTTGTAAACAGTTGCAAGAGTTTCACGGGTCGAGGGCGGCCTGTTTTCGACATGTTGCTCTCGCCTTAGCGCCGCGCACATTCGTTCTTACAAGTTGGAAGAGTTTCACGGTTTCTTATGGTCAACGTACCAGACATGGTGTTTTGGAGGGATTCAGGATTATGCGGGTGCAGCAGTTATGTTGGTTCGCGGTGTTGAAATCCCAACAACGGCGTTCTGGCACGATTCAGTGTCGTCAAGACGCAGCAATCAGGTTGATCCGTGGCTTTGAACTCCCGACAATAATGTTTTGACATGTTTTAGGGTCTGAAAGCGGGTGTCTTCCAACGAGGCAGTTCAATGGAAATTAACCGTTGTAGGGGCCTATGAAGTGGGAGCTTCACTTTCGGGGCCTTCAGGCCGTCTCAGTCGACAAGCTGCATGGCTTCGCCTTGCCTGATGATCTTGTGCAGTGGGAGAGGTCCTGCCAGAGGTCTCAGAAGGAGGCGCCCGAGCTTATCGACAGCGATTAAGCTCTGATTTGCGCCGTGGGGCGAGGGGCACCATGACGTGCCCGTGCTGTCAGTACCTTCAGTACCCTCCTCCTCTTTCTCTTCCATGTCCTCCTCCTCTTCCTCCATATCCTCCTCCTCCTCCTCCTCCCCCTCCTCCATTTCCTCCTCCTCCTCCTCCTCCTCCTCCTCCTCGCTCTCGGCCTCGCTCCTCGTCCGCGCGACTGAGCCTGCGCAGGAGGCGATGGTGGCGTTCGAGCAAGCCAGGCCGCCCGCGCGGCCTGTCTGCACCTGCCCGGGGTCGACGCCTGCTGCGCGCGGTTCCTGGGATGCTTCCCCTCAGCTGCCGCGGCCGAGAGCGCCAGGGATCGGAGGTCGGCGTCACCCCAACACACGAATACTATATGTGCGTCGCCCCCCCAAGGGGCGACGCGCGCACCGAGAAATCTTATAGTACATACGTCGTGGCGGGCGCTTTCTGGCCACACGGTTCGGGAAACGATCTACGACAATACGAGTACACCATAGGTTCGGGTCGGACGCGCGCTTCCAAGGAAGACATCTAGTATTAAACTGTCCCTGTGCTTCCCAGGGTGTATGCGTCTCGCAGTTTTTGGCCTCGGGACCGTTCACAGAAAACTGTTGCTACCGGTCCCGAGTCTAGACTCGGGGTGAGAAGCCGGGTCTAGACTCGGTGAGGCACTGGTCCTGGAGTCCTGGGGAAGTGGTCGAGAGGTCGAGAGGTTCCTCCGACCCAAATCTCTTCCCTGGCCTCGGGACCGAACAAAAAAATCGGGGTGAGAAACCGGTCCTGGGGATGTGGTGGAAAGGTCGAGAGATTCCGCCGACCCGATGCTCAGAGGAGGAAGAGGTACCGGTATCCCACTACCCTCGCCCCGCTGTCGCCTCTTTTTGGCCCTCCTGGGAGGCCCTCGTCGCCACCGCCGGGTTCGCCTCGAAAGCCTGGCCAGAGCGCGCCCCGGGAGGGGTCCGGGGAGCAGCGGTATTGGCGCCTCGGGGTTTCCCCAGGAGCGGCCTGCGTCGGGAAAGTCGGCGGAAGCGGCATTGGGGGGCGAACCGGCCGTCCGCTGTCGTTGACCTCCTCCCCCTCCTCCTCCTCCTCCTCCCCTTCCGTCTTCTCCTCCTCCTCCTCCTCCTCCTGCTCCTCCTCCTCCTCCTCCTCCTCCTGCTCCTCCTCCTCCTCCTCCTCCTCCTCCTCCTCCTCCAGGCAGTTCCGAGCGTCCCCGGGCTGGTCTGTTGGAGGGCATCTTGCTGCCGTTGAGAGCGGTGCCGTTTTTTCTTCGGGCCGCCTCCACCCCCCTGATTGTTTGGAGGAGCCAGCGCGGCAGTGAGCACAGGCAGTGTCCACTGCTGATGGCTTGGAGCACTTCTCGTTGCCTCTTGCGGTTTTGTGGGGGACTCTCCTCTTGGGCTCTTTCGGGAGTGGTGCTCGCACGGGGCAGCTTGCCACTGTCTCAAGCCATGTCGGAGCTGTCTTGTATCAGTGTGGGTACCGATAATTCCAGTGTGGACCCCAAGCAGCCAATGTGTGCAGCCTAAGTATGTGGTGCAATGCAAACTATCGGAACACAACGCAAGCATGTGCAAGCCTTGCAAGCGATGCGAGTCAGTGCAATGCGGTTGAAGACAATGCAAGCCAGTGCAAATCAACATATGCAAAACAATACACGGCCATACTGAGCAGTGCACATCAAAGTGGTGCAATGCAAAGCTATGAAACCGTCCCGCCAGCAAAAGGCATCTCGCAGGCACAACCCACGGCGCAACCGATGATGCAACTCGTGGCATTTGGAATGCCCCGCCTGCACGGCATCCGGTGGACCCGTGGGACCAGGCCATGGCGAAACTTGCGGCGCCCAGGATTCTGGCCGGCGCCAGGGACCACACGGGCGTAACCCATGACGCAACCCGTGGTGATCAGAAGAGCTTTGGGGGCGCAGGCGGACTCATGGTGCAACCTGTGCCACAGCCCGTGCCACCCAGCGCGCTGGCCCGAATCCGTGTGCGGCCCACGCAAGGACGCATCAGTGCAAACACCGTGTCGGTAATTAACTTGTCCAACTGGTTGGGGAACATCCTGCCAACATGCCAGCGCAGCAGCGCAGCGTGAGGGAGGTCGAGTCATAGACCCACGGCAGTTCAGTGCGCGGTCTGAACTCGAGTAGGTCTTTCGATCTCGTTCTTTCGACTCCGTGGGGCATCTGAGGGGCCTCTGAGGGGCCTCCTGGAGGGCCTCTTGGGAACCACTTGGGCCGTCTCAGGGTTTTCTTTCTTGGTCCGGCTTACGCCTTCGGAGGCCGGCATGGGGAGTCTTTGGGCCGTCGTGGGGTCCTCTTGGGGCGCTCGCGGGCCGTCTTGGAATTCTCCTGGGCCCTCCTTTGGCCGTCTTGGAGCCATTTGAGGGGTCTCTCGGGCCGTGTTTGGGCCCTTTTGGCCAGTCTTAGAGGCATCTGGAGCTGGGCTGTCTGAAGCCCGAGCAGGTGGGAACGCGAACATCAATGAGCACAAACAGAATTAACGATTCTGGCTTCTTCGGGCCCTCTTGGAAGGCCTCTCGGAGCCCTCGTGGGCTGCATCGGGGGCCTCTCCTGGCCCGTCCGAGGGCTTCTCGGCCTGTCTTGGGGGCCTCTCCTGGGCCGTCCTGGGGGCCTCTCTGGGCCGCCTCGGGGCGCTCTTCGGGCGCTCGCGGGGCGTCCTTTGGGGGCCTCTCTGGGCCGTCTCGGGGCCCTCCTTGGCCCGTCTTGGGGGGGCCTCTGCAGCCGCCGGGGGCTGTCGGAAGTCCGAAGACGCGGGAACGCAATGAATCGTCGGTTACCATGAAACTATGGGAAATTATGGGAAGTGGGGGGAAGACAAAAACTCAGAACATCTGGGAACATATGGGGAATCCTCAAATTTGTGCCTATTTATTTGTGTGTCCCAGGGCCCCTTCATGAAAAAGCAGGAGCACAATTCACGATTTTGGTTTCTTCGGGTCCTCCTGAGGGAGGGCCGTTTTTGGGCTGTACTGGGGCGCTTTCGGAAGCCGTTTCGGAGGTCCTTTGGGCCGTCTCTTAGCCCTCGTGGCCCGTCTTGGAAGCCTCTGCAGCCGCCGTTGGATGCCAGAAACCTGGAAAGGCGGGAACGCAAGCTCCACTGTAAAGCCAAAATTCAAATTCTTCGAGCCCTCCCAGAGGGTCTCTTCGGTCCCTCTTGGGCTATCTTGGGGGCCTGTCTTGGGGCCACCCAGGGTTCTTTTCGAGACGTCTTGGACCGTCTTGGAGGCATTTTGAGGCCATCTTGGATCCTCTCATATCTTGGAGCCTTCTGGAGGCCAAAATGGGCGCCGGAGAGCAAATCCAGGGGAGACGGTTTTCTGAGAATGCGCGCGACGGAGGGGGGTGTCAGCCAGAGAACCTTACCAGACAGCAGAAGAGCATTCTAACACGCCCGAATGTGCCACTGGCACGGTGGCGTATGCCCTCCTGGGTACTCGCGGGGCCATTTGGAATCTTCTTGCGGTCATCCGCATTCGTGTTGCAGGAGGATCCCGGGCTTGTCGTTGACACCCTGGAGCTCTCATGGCGTCTCCGGCGTCTGAGGCGCCGTTTTCGAACCACGTCAAAGCCTCTTTGCGGACTCCTGCGGGGTTCTCAAGGCGAGCGTCCCGGGTGCCTTTGTGCGCCACGTTGGGATCTCATTTGGACTTCTTGAGGCCACCTGAGTGCGAACTTGCTAACGTTCCAAGTGCATCGAGGCAATGTGGGAAGTTTTGTTGGATGTAGCACTCGCGGGCGCCTCTGGAGTTGCCTCGGGGCTTCCCTGAAGCCGTCCGACCGTCCGAAGGCCAAAGGCGAGCACGTAGGTGTGTCGTTTGAGCTTCTTTGAGCTTCGGCGACTTGCAGAGTGATGTCTCTTCGAGCATGCGGTGGCCTAAGTGGGCAATCTAGCGTGTGAGGTCTCGCTGGGTGCCCACTCCGAGCTGATCAGCCAGCACCTCCCGGGGAAGGAGCCACGCCACAGTCATAAGCTTTTGGCGCTCCGCGCGGAGCGCCAAAAGTTTATGACTATGGCGTGGCTCCTTCTTCGGGGGGTGCTGAGCTGCACGGGGGGGTCAGAAGACGAAGCAACGCCATAAACATAAACTTTTGGCGCTGCGCGCGGAGCGCCACAAGTTTCTGTTTGTGGCGCTGTTTCTTCTTCGACCCCCCCTCCGTGCCGCTCAGCTGGACGGCCCGTCCCAGCCCCCCCCCCTGCGCGCGCACCGAGCTCACCCCCGATCGCGGATCCGACCCCCCACGCCCCGCGAAGGACCGCCCGCGCTGACCTTTTTTCCTGGCATCGCTCGGACGTGTGTATTTTTTTCTCGGCGAGGACCCCTGAGGAACATCCTGGATCATCGAGCGACAAAAACACGCACGAAACCGAAAGATGCACGGGAAATGGACGTCCGAGCAACGGCAAGTTTTTCTTTTGTTACTTTTACCCATCGGTCGTTGAAAGTAGGTGTTTTTGGAATCCTAGGTTCCAATCTGCTTCAGGCGCCTTCCTACTCCAATGATCGAGTGGCTGCCCCTCCTTCCCTCCTCTTCAGGGGGCGGGCGGAGACGCAATCTCCTTCCAACGCCTTCCTGCTTCATGTTTCTATCTACTTTTTCCGACCGATGGGCGCGACTCTGTGAGGCCAAACGAGGCTTGATTATTCAAGGCGGGTGCCTACAGTCGTTCGGCGTGCGTAAGAGCATGCAAGGAGTTTCAGGTATGGCTGCGAGAGCACATTCCGAGTTTTGGGTACGGTATTTTGGGGCATGCCTAACGGGTTTTCGAGAGATTGGGCCTTCAACAGAAACAATTGGCACCCCAGTCTCGCCCCACACGCTGATTGGACGACCCTCCTGGAGACGTCTCAGGACGCCTTCGGGAGGGTTGTTCAACAAGCGCTCACAGCCCTCCTGGAGAGGGCTCAGGACGTAGTGCGTCGCAGCCCCCAATAAGCGTCGCGGCCCGGGGTGGTGCGCCAATCCACGATTTCGGGACTCTCGGCAGGCGGGCGGGGTCAGGGTTCGGCATCCGTCGAACGCGTGGCGAAATCCGAGCCCCACCCCCGCCCCCCATCGATTCAGGATGAGGAGGAGGAGGAGGAGGAGGAGGAGGAGGAGGAGGAGGAGGAGGAGGAGGAGTGCCTCGCAGCCCTCCAGGGAGACGTCTCGGGACGTCTTCGGGGCTCTCTGGGCGCCCTGGGGAGCGGCCGTGGCCCACGCCAGAAGACGTCGTGCGCCACGGCCCCCCGCCAGGCGTCGCAGCCCGGCGTGGTGCCTCGCGGTCCTCCTCGGGACTCAAGAGACGGGGGTCAATGCAAACGGGGGTCAGCCAGGGCACCGGATCCTGCAGGATCCTGCGAAGACCCCCTCTGGCTGACCCGGGTCAGCGAGCCGCTCGTGGCCGCGAGGCGGCCGCGCCTATTGGCTGACCCGGGTTTGCGAAGACCTGCGTTGCAGTTTTTTTCCCTGCATTGCAGTTTTTGGTTTCCTGCTGACCTGGATCTGGATTGACCCGGGTCAGAAGATCCCCGACATCCTGGAGGCGTCACGGGACGATCGCAATGGGTACGGAAAGAATGGGTACAAAGACCGCCAGCATTTCCTGCTTCTTTTGAGCAGGACTCGCTGTCGGTGCCGCCTCGGACGTGGTCCTTCTGAGGCAGAAGGGTGCCTGCCCAACGGCGGCCGCTGCTGGTTATGGGCAACATCTGTTGTTGGGCAGTGTTTTTTTTTCCGTACCCATTTGGGCGACGCCGAAAACGGTGTCGTCTGCGCCGACATTGGCGCGTAAGCTTCCCGCGCAAGCTCGCGCGCGAGCGCCCTCGATTCCAACGAGGTGTGCCGCGCTTGCGGCCCGCGTGAGCCGCCGCGTCAGATCGCTGTGCCATCCCGCGTAAGACCCGTTTCTGAGCGTCGCCGATTTCGGGCGTCCACAGAGACGCCTCGGGACTTCTTCGGGGCTCCCTGCTACCAGCCTGGAACATGTCCCTATCCCTATGCTGGGCATCTCCTCATCACGATGCCAGCCTTAGGGGTTCCCTGTTTTTTTGAGGGCGCATCCCTAAGATGGTCATCGCTTTTTGGCGTGCCAATTGTAGGGATAGGGATCAGATCGAGGCTGGCTCTGCTGGTGCTTGCCGGACGTCGGAGGCCTGGGGCCGTGAGGAGGGGGCGGTCTTGCGGGAGGTCCAGGGGCCCAGCGCCAGGAGAGGAGGAGGCTTCGGGAGGATGCGGAGTGGAGGAAGAGGGAGGAAGAAGGAGGAGGAGGAGGAGGAGGAGGGGGGGGAGGAGGAGGGGAAAAAAGGAGGAGGATGACAGAGGAGGAAGGAGGAGGAGGGGGAGGAGGAGGAGGAAGAGAGGGAGAAGGATGAGGAGGAAAGGGAGGAGGAGGAGGAGGAGGAGGAGGAGGAGGAGGAGGAGGAGGAGGGGAAAGGAGGAGGATGACAGAGGAGGAAAGATGACGAGGAGGAGGAGGAGGAGGAGGAGGAGGAGGTGGTGGTGGTGGCGGAGGAAACGAGGAGAAAGGAGGAGGAAGGATGAGGAAGGAGGAGGATGAAGGAGGAAGGAGGAGGAGGACCAGTGTAACCCGCGACTCATCAACGATGTTTGGATACACCCTCCCTCCAAGCTCCTTCTTCATAGGCATAGGCCCCGTACAAGGGTGAACTTCCACTGAGGGAGATGTTCCGTTTGGAGGCAACCGTGTGAAAATCTTGCAGCGTGTTCAGAATATGATTTTCAGGACTTCAACGCCACGAGTCAACCTTACAGCTGCGTCTTGGCAATCCTGAAACGTGCTAGAATACCATTGCTGGCACTTCAACACCGCGAATCTACGTAGCTGTTGCGCCGTGACAACCCTGAGCCGCTCGAACACAAACTTTCTGGACGGTTAACCATGCGAGTCCGCGAAGCCCTTGCAACTTTTTACCACGAATGTGTGCTTTGCCGAGGAGAGAGCCGCACTTTGAAAAGGAACCGCCCTCAAGCCGTGAACCTCTCGCATTTTTAAAAAAAAACGAATGTGCGCGACTCTAAGGTGAGAGCCACACTTTGAAAACGACCCGCCCTCAATCCGTGAAGCACTTGCAAAGTTTTAAGACGAATGTGCGCGGCACTGAGGCGAGAGCCACATTTTGAAAACGACCCGCGGTCAGTCTGTGAAGCCCTCGCAAATTTTCATTGACTGTGCGCGGCGCGAGTGCGAGAGCCACATTCTGGAAGCGACCTGCTTTCCATCTGTGAAAATGTTGCCCGTATCTAAGTTTCAGGCTCATACATGGTAAGGAAGTCTCAGGCGAAATGCCCGGACCGCCCGACCGGCCTCGGGGTGCGACGTGGAGGCGATATTCACAGGGAAAAAGGAAAAAGGAATGTAGGAGGAGCAGGGTAAAGGAGGATGAGGAGGAAGGAGGAGAAGGGAGGAAGGAGGAGGTGGAGGGGGAGGGGGAGGGAGAGGAGGAGGAGGAGGCAGAGGAGGAGGAGGAGGAGGAGGAGGAGGAGGAGGAGGAGGAGGAGGAGGAGGGGGAGGGGGCCCAGCGCCAAGGAAGAAGGAGGGGGACTCGGTTGGGATGCTGTGCAGCACCACTCGCCGCTTTGTCCGCCAGTCTGTTGCCAGCGGCCAAAATCTTTCGTGGGCGCTGAGATCGGGATTGTCCTCGTTCATATGTGAGGCAGTCTGGGAAGGAGGAGGGGGAGGGGGATGCGGAGTAAGAGGAGGACGGGGCATCGGAGAGCCCATACGGTGGTTGAGGGCGGGAGGACGAGTCTTAGCCGAGAGGCGCGAGGAGCTGGGAGGTGTCGGGCGTGCTGTGCCTCTGCGTTTTGTTTGTTTGTTTGTTTGTTTTTCAGCTGTCGTCTTTCTGGGCCATTGTTTTCAAGAGAGCATCTGCTGCTCAGCCTCTCATTCCTTCTTGCCTTCCTTCCCCTTCTCCTTCGATTCCTCATGTTTTTTTTTCTCTAGCTCTCTCTCTCTATCTCTTTCTCTCTTGGTGTCTTTCCTCTCGGATTCTTTCTCTGCGCTCGAGCGTTCTCGTGTACCATCAGAAGGAAAAGGGAGGGAAGAGGCTGCGGGAGGGCAGAGGACGGAGTGCGGAGGGAGGAGGACGGGCCCATGTTCGCAGATCGGCCCGTCTCTAGACCCAGGTCCTGAGTCGGGCGATCGCCAACATGGATCCAGGGGGCGTGGATCAGCGACGGGTCCCTTTTCCATGGGAAATCGCGGGGTTCCGCCGCCGTCTGAGGCGGCAGCGGCCGCCTTTTGGGGAGGGCACCTCCCCCGATCCATGGATTTGGCGACCGCGCGCCAAATCCGTGGACCGCTAGCCCGTGCTTGCGCGCCCCCGTCGGCGTGCGCTCCGTCTTTCGGAAACCAGCCCCGCTCGCTGCTCACCGGACCGTGCGCACGCCTGGCCGCTGCCGGATTTCTGGCCGTTGGGGGCGGCCTGTCCCCCCCCCCTCCCTTCTTCTTGGCATCGCTCAGACGTGTGCACTTTTCCTTTGGCGAGGACCATCGAGGAGCATCCTTGATCATCTGGCGAAAAAACCACGCACGAAACCAAAAAAACACAGTGGATGGACGTCCGAGCGATGGCCAGTGGGGGCGGACAGACCTCCTACCCTGACACGTCGACTCGTGAGTTGGCCTGTTTTCTGTTCGCGAGAGGGCGTCGCGGCCGTCGTTGTGGCGGGTCCAGGGCCGTCGGTTCTGGTCCCAGGCTGTTTTTCCACCAAGGGGTGGTTTGCCAGAGGGAGGTTTCTCCACCGCCGATGTCCCCCCTCTCCTGCTCTTCGCCGTGCCCTCCTCCGGACGCGTGCGCACATCCCGGGGGGGGGGGGAGGCGGGGGAGGCGCCGCCCGGGCACGGCCAGGGTGCATCGGCCCCTGGACCGGGTGGCCTACCACCTCTTCAATGCGATGAACCCGTGGAGCAAGCGCCCTCCTCGGAGACGGGGGGACAGGGCCGGACCTGAACGGTGTTTTGGCGATCTCGTGGGCCGTTCTCGTTTCGACCTCGTTTTGCGGCAGAGGCGGCCTGAAGCCAAAAGCGAGGGACAATGAAAACAATACGAAAACGAAGAACACCTTTTAGGTTCAGCCCTGCGGGGGGACGCAGACATCTGGCCGCTCCAGCTCCTTTGGTGCATGGGCCCCGGAGGTCCGGACCACTTCCCCGGGGCCGGTCTTGCGCCCTGGGTCGTTTTGTTTTGGACGGCCCCGAGGCCCTGCGAGGGCCTCTGGAGGCCGAAGACCCGCAGAGACCGCCCGCCCCAAGTTTCGGGTTGACGCAAAAGGGGTCCAGCGACAAGGGGTTGGTTCAATAGATTTGGTGCAATAGATCTAGGCCTCCTAGATGGGGTCGGAGTGGATGGGGTCGGAGGATCGCGCCGCATCGCCGATGCATCGCCGATGCGGCTCGATGTGCAGCCCGATTTGCGTCACGTCGACGTCGCCGATGCATCGCCAACGTCGACGATGTATCGGCGATGCGGCGCGATCCTCCGACCCCGTCTACTCCGACCCCATCTAGGAGGCCTCTAATAGATTAGCGGGGTTGCAATACATGTGGGGCGTGCAATGCATTCCGGGGCGCAGATGTATTGTTGAGTTTTCGCGTGCAATGTATTTCTTGCCAGACAGTGCAATACAATTCTCCGGCGCAGTACATTTGCAATACAATTGCCCCAAATATATTGCACCACCCCCTTTCAGTTGGACCCCCTTTTGGATCACCCTAAAAGCTTTTTGCAGCATCGGGTCTCTGGGGAGCGGGAGGTCACCACCCACCAAACCACCCCAATCCAACCTGAAGGCTCTGATTTACCCTCGATTTTCAGTTGGGGGAGGGGGGGGCGGGACACATCGAACACAACACATGTAGAACCCTTACCCCCCCAACCCGAAATTCGGGTCTTCGGGTTGGGTTGGGGGTGGTCTGGTAGGGAGTCAGGGAGGGGGACATCCGAGATTGCCCTCGGCGGGCGCGCGAGGAGGGGGAGGAGGGGGAGGAGGAGGAGGAGGGGGAGGAGGAGGAGGAGGAGGAGGAGGAGAGTCGCGCTCCGCGCGCCGCGCCCTGGGCCAGAGCCGGCTGCCCTGCTCCAGGGGGTCCGGCGCGAGGGCGCGAGGGCGCGAAGAGCAGCGCGCCTCGCACGCTGCGGGGCGCGAGGGCGCGAGTGTAGGCGACCTGGGTCTTGGCATCGCTCGGACGTGTGCATTTTTTCTCGGCGAGGGCCATCGAGGACCATCCTTGACCATCGAGCCAAAACGGCACGCACGAGACCGAAAGGTGCACGGGAAATGGACGTCCGAGCGAGGCAAGGGATGCCCAGAGATCCGACTCGGCAACGGGTAAGGTGACCTTTCGCTGGAGGACCTCGAGTGCGGGCCCAATGGGGCCCCCCGATCGCCGGATGCGAGGCGGTAGCAGCGGCTTGCGCGCCTGGCGGTGTCCCCAAATGGCCCCCCCTTGGCCGCGCACTAGAGGTCACTCTTGCCCAGGGCCACTCTTGCGCGTAGCCGACTCGATGCCTTGTTCTTTCTCCTGGCTTTTCACCCCGAGTCGCCTCTTGACGGTCCCTGGGTCTGGCGGGGGCCCCGGGAGGGCGAGAATTGACTGAAGCTTCCCGTCGTGTTCTTCCCCGCCCGATAGGTCGGGACGTTCAATTTTTGAGAACAGACCGCCCGACCCGTCCTGTCTGCACACCGCGGCCGCCAGATTCCCAGGTCCCCTGAGTGTTCCCGAGAGTCCTGCCTCGCGCCACTCTGCATACCGCGGCCGCCAGATGCCCAGGTCCCCCGAGTGTCCCCGAGAGATCCGCCTCGCGCCGCAACACATCATAACATGACAGAGTGGTACTATCACATAGCAGAACATAGTACAACACAACACTGTACATCATTTTAGACTAGGGCATATCACCACACCACCTAACATATCATTTCCGACCATGACATGCCCTATCATGACATAACATATCGTAGCATGACGCACCATGACAGAGCAGTGCATACTGCAGCACAGCATCACAGCACTGAGCATTCCATATCGTGGCAACGCAAGCATACCATGCGACCGCGTCGCATAATTGAACATACCCAACTATATCATGTCAACACCTCACGTAACATGACACATCATACCATACTTCAACACACCACAACAGTGCATGCTATGAGATATCGCAGCATCCATGGCATAACTTAGCATCTCACATCATACCATGCCATGGCAGCACATCCTGAAAACGGCCCTGGACAGGCCCAAGACAGCCCGAGAGGCGCCCCAGAGGGCCCTAGAATGCCCAAGAGGGCCCCGCGAAGGCTTCCAGAGGGGCCCACGAGGGGGAACAAAAATGTCAAAATTTGTTTTTTCCGCCCTGAAAGCTTCTCAGGAGGCTCCGAGACAGCCTGGGCCCTCCCCGAAACAGGCCACGACGTGCTGAGGGGGCCCGAAGAGGGCCCAAGACTGTCCCGAGAGGCCCCGAAGACGCCCAAGATGCCCTCAAGGCGGCCGACGAGGACCCCAACGCGCTCCAGGACGGATTCAAGAGGCTCCCCGAGAGGGCCTTGGGAGGCGAAATTCATGTATTTTCAGAAAATTTGTAAATGATTTTTGCGTTCTCGCTTTTCCCGCTTCCCAGCGCTCCCTCACGGCCACGGAGGCCCTTCAGATCGCACCAAAACGGCCCACGAGGCGCCGAAGAGGGCCCCAAGACAGAACAGGAGGCTCCCTGGACAACCCAAGTGCACCCCAAGGGCACCCCAAGAGGGGGCCCAGAGGAAGACCGCGAACTGATATCTCGAGGTCTCTGGCCCTAGAGGCTCCCAGTAGGCACCCGGAGGCCACCAAGAGGCCCCCACGAAGCCCAGCGAGGCCCGAAGAGGCCCCCAGGAAGCCCCAGAGGACCCCAAGGGGCCCACAGGGAACGCCCAAGAGGCCCCCCAACACACCCCAACAAGTCATGTCCCCAGAAAGCCTTCCAGGGTCATGGTTTATCATGGGCCCGAGAGTCTCCGGAGGCTCCGAAGTACCATCGCGCTACTGGAGAGCTGTCTGCGAAGTTGACTGGGAACATGACCGATCGCCTTCTCGTGGCCCTCCGCGGATCGTTTCGCACAAAGTTGCCAAGTGCCCTCTTGAACCGACGACGACGACGAAACGACGAAGACGAGGACGATGACGACGTCGGCGCGCCCTAAGAGGCGACGACGACATTACGACGACGACGAAGGTACGCCTCAACAGACTCCCCAAGACGCCCCCCAAACCCATGTTCCCATAAGGCCTTCTGGGAACCCGACTCATCAGGCCTCCGCCCCCCTACGCAGCCATCTTCCCGAAAAGCCTTCGGAATGCGGATTGACATGCATGGATCTCTCACTGCCCATCATGCGTTCAGCGATATGGGCGCTTCTTCACTTCCCGTTCAAACCATCTGTGGTCCATTACTTCAGTGGAGCAATGAACTCGTTGGTTTCGCCGGTGCTAAGAGTGAATTCAGCGTGGATTTGCGTCCTCGTTTTTCATTTTTATTTTCCTTTTTTCTGATATGCGCACGTCAATCGATCATGTGGCTCGGGCGTTCGTGTGAATGCCGCGTGGCCAGCGAATTTCGAATGTCTTCCGTGCCCTTGATTCTTCCTCATCGTATTAATTTATCTTATTCCTCTTGTCTGCATGGTTTTTCTCTTTATTTCCTTCCCGCTGTCATCTTCTTTTGTCAGGGCCTGCGGCAGGATTCAACAGGGCGCCGGGAAAGCTGCAAGTGAGCTCGAGGAGAGTCCAGCAGGTCCCGAGAAGGATTGCAAGCAGGCCCTAGGGTCCCAAGACAGGCTTTGTAGGGGTCCAAAACAACTTGCAGACCTGTCTCCTCGCATATGTTCTGACGCGTTTCGGCCGTGGTCCGCGGGATTTTACTGTTCATCCGCCTTTTTGCCTTCATTTCCGACGCCTCGCGTATTTCCGCCAGCCAAGGCAAGAGCAATCATCAGGCGAGTTGCCTCGATCAGCATGTGTAGCAGCATGCGGCGCCGCAGCGAACCGAATGCGCTTTCACTGGTTCTGTACGGGAGGAGGAAGAGGAGGTGGAGGAAGCGAAGGAACAAATCTGGTGGCGAGGGACCAGTAGTAACGAAAGAAGAGGAACAGCAAAAGGATGGGCGCGTGCTGGAGGAAACAGCAACATGCTAGAGCATGAGAAGGTCGGAAGGATGATGAGGGACCTGAGGGGGGGAGGAGGGTTACGAGGAGCCAGGGGGAGGCAGCAGCCGCATTGGTGATCCGCGCAGAACACCAGTGCGCCGCATCCTTTCGTAAACGAGGATGTAGGAATGTGCCAGGTGGGGAGGTGGGGGGAGCATGGGGGAGGTAGGAGGACATGGGGGTAAGAACGCTCAGGACGAAGCAGTTCCGGAGACGGTGCCCAGGCAAATTGTGTTGATCAGAAACGTGTTCCAGCATGGTGCTCAACCAAGAGGGCGACGCTGTTTACGTGAGAAACGTGAGGACGGCGCAGGAGGAATCGGAGGATTAACAGCAGCGGGGAAGGAGGACAAGGAGGAGGATGACGAGGAAACGGAGGAGGGGCGGGATGAGGACGAGGAGTAGGAAAAGGAAGGATGGGAGAGAAAAAGTCACGACGACGGCCAGAATCAATCATGGAGGATTTTGTTTGTTTTTCGCACACGGCTCTTGTTAGAAGCCCCTTGGGGTGATTTGTGGGCCATTGTGGAGCTAATTTGGAGCCATTTTGGGAGGGCCTACGGGGTCCTCTTGAGGCTGTTTCGGGCCTCATTTGGGATCCTCTTCGGGGTCTCGTGGGCCCGTCTTGGAGGCCTTGGGGGCCCTCTCGGGGCCATCTTGGAAACGCCGTCAGTCAAAGAGTACGGGGGGGGGGGGTCCTTGCAGCGCCCCCTCTCTGGAGCCGCCCGCGTCGCCTCTTGGCGCTCTCTTGGGACTTTCTTCGGCTGCTCTTGAGCACTCTCGGCGCCGTCTTGGGGCCTGTCGGGTTCTTCTGGAGGGCCATCTCAGGCCAGCGTGGCCATCTCGATGCCTCAAGAGCCCATGGAAAACGAAACGGGCGACGAGACATAACACATAGCACGCATTTTTTCTTGGTCTTGGAGGCCTCCTTGGAGAGCTCGAAGGGCACGCGGGGCCGTCTTGAAGCGGTCTTGACGACTCTCAGAGGCATGTTGGAGGCTATTCGGAATCGTCCTGGGATGCATTGAGCGATATTGGAGGCGTATCTGGGCTCCTTGCAGCCATCTCGGGTAATTTTGGGCCGTGTTCGGCGCTCCAACGACCCGCTGCTACCTTCCCGCGCATGAAGGATTGGGCGGGGAAATGGGGAACCGTGCCCATGAAGGGGAAGAGTGGGCTTGGATGAATTACTTCGTCACGCCGCTCACGCTTAAAGGGGTGCTGGGATTCCTGTCTCCCTCCGGCCCTCTCCTGCGGCGTGCCCCCCCTCACCCTGTGACTTCCCCCGCCCCCGCCCCCTCCTTCCAGGCCCCGCGCGCGGCCGAGTGAAAACTTCGGGGAGAAAAACAAAAACTCGTTTTGAATACCTCTCCGAATTCTTGGTGGATTTTTCCTTGAGCGCGCGCATCGAAAAAACGCGCGCGGAAAAATCCGGGGGGCACCCGGAAAAATTCGCGCGGCTTCCGGCACCAGCCATGCAGGGCGTGGGCGGTGGTTTAACGGGCTAGCTTATCCGCGCGTTTCTCCCTGGCAGGGGCGGGGGCCCCCCCCCTGCCCTCTCGCCCCCGGGCGTGGGCAGAGAGTGGCCGCGGGGCGGTGAGGCGCCCGAAATGGCCGAAGATGGCTCCAAAGGAACCGCAGGCAACCCAAGAAGGATTCCGAGATCGCTCCATATACTTGCAGATGGTACACTTTTGCTTCCAATGTGCCTCCAAGCCCCCTCAAGACCGTTTCGTGACAGCCCGCAATTGTCTTTCGAGCTCTTAAAGGAGGCCTCCAACAGGTTCAACTCCTTTACAATCACTGTGCGCTTCAATTTGTTCCTTCTCGCCTTTTTTACTTTCCGTAGTTTCTAGAGGCCTCGAGATGGCTGCGAGTTGGTCTGAATGTGCTTTGAGAGGGGGCCACCAGGGCCCAAGTCGGCTCCAAGAGCACCAAAGAGCGGCCCAAAACGCTTCAAGGGCGTCGCAAGAGGGCCGCATTTGGCGACTGGGGGGCTCGAGAAGGAATGGGGCGTTGCTAGGGCCCCACTTCTTTGACCGACGGCTTCAATCTGGCCCCGGGAGGGCCCCCAAGGCTTCCAAGAGGGGCCCAGGAGATCCCCGAAACGACCCGAAGAGGGCCCCGAGGGGCTCCAAGACAGCCGCCAAAGGCAGCCAGAATTGCCCTAAGAGAGCGCCGCGGCGGCACCGATATGACGACGTTGATGGGGCGCCCCGCGGGCACCTAGAGCGAACGACTCGAGATCCTCGATGATTGATGCCCGTCGTCGTCAGCGTGTTTTTTCCTCTCTATCCTTTATCTTTCCCTTCCTTGTCCTCCTCCTCCTCCTCGTCCCTCTTCTGTGACCTCCTCCTTTTTCTGCTCCCTCCCCGTTCCTGTGCATCTTCCGATTAATTACTCCTGCGCCCTTTTCTTTCCCTAATGGAACGGTTGTCATCGTTTTTTTTTTCTTGCGTTGCATGTTGCTTCACTTCGCTTTCATGTTTCGCGCAACTTGCTTGGGATTCGAGTCTGCAAATGCTTTCTTCTGCATGTTTTTTGCCCCTCCAATTGCCTCCTACTTCCCCCTGCTCTTTGATCCTCCCACCTCTTCCTACACCCTCGCTGGTGATGGGCGCGCGGCGCGCGCGCGTTCCGCGCGGATCGCTGGTGCGCCTTTTGCCTCCCTCAGGCTTCTTGTGTTTCTTCCTACCTCCCCCGAGCTCCTCTTCCGTGTTCCTACCTGCTCATGCTCTTGCACGTTTCCAGTCTTTCCTATCACCATGCTCCCTCTCTTCACCGTGTTCATTATGATTTTCATTTGATTTTCATTTTCCGCCCACCTCTCCTTTGCTCCGCTTCCTGCACCTCATCATCCGCGAATGCGGATGCGGCTCGCTATTTTCGCCGCTTGCCCGATTACCCGGCCTTGATCAGGGCGACTCGCCTCGTGGTTGTTCATGGATTGGCTCGTGAGGATCTGAGCAACGCGTCAATGACTTCAGCGGGCGTCTAGGTGTTATTGTTGGCGCATGGGCGTTGCCGCTGGGGTTTACCGCGGGCCAGTATGGTTAACAATTGCAAGCGGCGCGTTGGCAGGCATTCGCCTTCCTGGGGACATCTGTTTGGTTTCGCAGTGACCTTTTTTCGCGCTGCTCTTGTTTCTTTGCCTCCAGTTTGCGGTTGTATGTTTGTAGCCCTTGGCTGAGCCCCATCAGGCGGCTATAATTCCGCTGCCCTCGCTCGATGTATGACCGTCCCCGCTGCAATGCTCGTGAGCTTTCCGGTGGGCTGATCATTTGTGGTTTTGTCTGCAGTTGGACTGCGGGCGGAACGCGGGCTCCGCTTATGCAGCGTTCCATTTTTCGTTTTCCTCTGAGGGCATCCGCAGTGGATTTTGCGCGCGTTTTTTTTTGGGGGGGGGCTGAGCAGATCAGTTCAATAAGATCTGTCGTTGTTCGGCACGAGACCACTAAAATGAAATTTGAAAAGGGAAAAAATCCACGCGTCCCTTCATAGCCCTTGGCGAAGCCAAAACTCGTCAAGGCCTGGGGCCTGCTAGAACCTGAGCGCGCGAAAGCGTGCGCGCGATGGTTCTAGTGTACACACACACACACATATATCTATATATATGTATTAATGAACCCTCCCCCTGGCACACAATGACAAATTAGTCCATCTCCCTGGGAGCCAATTTCCGCCCCCCGGGGTCCTGGGCCCATTTGGGACTCCCTAAGCAGCTATTTCGGCCTTCTGGGAATTCCAAAACTGTTCAGGAGAACGCCTACAGACTGCCAAGACGGCCCAGGATGGCGACGTGCGCTCCGAGGTGCTTCCGCGACGCTCCACGACGGCTCCAAGAGGACCCCCAAGAGGTGAGAACCAATGATTCCCAGAAATTTCAGCGATTTTCTTGTTTTCGTTTCTTCGAGCCTCCAGTGTGGCAAGACAGCTCAAGAGCCCCCCCTCAAGCCCCCCCAAACCCCCAAGGCGGCCCAAGAGGTTCCTGATGCGGCCGCATGGCGACCCAGAAGGCCTCCAGGACGGCCCAAGAGCGTTCCAGGATGGCCTGAAGAGGGCCCAAGAGCAGGAACCCGAACTGACCTGTCGAGCCCGTCCCTCGAAGATGGCCCCCGAGACCGCCAGCAGGGCCAGCGGAGGGGCGACAACCAACAAGGGACAACCAATAGACACCTCCTGCGTCGGGTTCCCGCTCTGAACAGGGCGGTGCGGTCTCCGACCTGCACGCCCCCCCTCCCTCTCCTTCCCCAGCAGCTTCCTGACGAGCTCCTGCCCCGGCGTTCCTGGTGGCTGCGGGCTGCGAAGCTGCCTCCGCTTTCGCGTGGTGCCGCCCTGCGCGGGTCTCAAGACGGAACCAGGACGAGGATAACATTGGGTGAGAAGATAGATCGAAAACCTTTGAGATTTGGCGGCTCTGGAGGATGTCTCGGGCGTCGCGGCCTTCTGAGAGCGTTCCACAATGCTCTGATAGAGTTCTGGAACGCCCTGGAATGGATGTATCCTCGTCCCAGCCCCGTCCTAGGTCTGACGAGACCTCGCCGTCCCCAGGGTCTGCAAATTGCGAGGCCGTCGTCTCTTCCGGGGACTCCTGGGGGGGGGTCCAGCACAGAGCGGCCCTGCGCAGATTCGAGTCAGACCTCGCCGTCCCTGGCGGCTGCGGACTGCGAAAGTGCCGCCGCTTTCGTATTGGAGAGCTGCTTGAACCATCTTGGAAGGCATAGAGGACATCTTGGCGGTGGAGGTGCGCAGGAACAGGATAGGACAGTAACGTCATCAAACATCCATGACAGAGGTCAGGGGGTGTTTTATTGTGATCTTCCCATCTTGCAAGGGGCGGGGAGAGGTGCTTGGGTGTCTCGTGTTGCATGCGGATTTCCCGCGTCAGGTTCGGGCCTGAGGAGCTGTTCAACGAGTCACAGGTCGGTTTTTGTTGTTCTCTCTCTCTCTCTCTCCTTCTCTCTCCCTCTTCCTCTCTTTCTCTCTCTCTCTCTTTCTCTCGCTATCTCTCCTGAGCGCATCTCCCAGTTCCGTACTTGTTTCAAACCAACGGAACGTGTGCACGGGCGGGGGACGACGACGACGACCCGACGACGACGACGACGACGTTGACGACGACGGCAACGTTGACGACGACGATGACGACGACGCTGGCCCCTTCGTCCTGCCAACCGCCGAGCTTGAATGTAACGCCGATGTTGCCAGCAATTAGCTTTGTAAGTATATACGTATAACGGCGCACCGGGTCCGGGGGCCCAGGGCCGGGACCCCGACCACAAATGTGGGCCCCGGGGGGCCCGGAGGCTCGTCGGACCGCCAGACGCCGTCCAAGATCGTTCGCAGGCGGCTTCGGACCCGGCTCCGATGGCTCCAGATGCCTTCCAAGACGCCTGTCATGACACCAAGAAGGTCCCAGAAGCCTCCAAAACGCTCCGAGAGGCAGCCCAAGAGAGGCCCAAGAAGCAAAAATCGTGCCATTCCTATGGGAAAGCGTATATTTTTCGCATGTTCGCCTCTTGGGCTTTCACCGCGTCCAAGACGGCCCAAGAGGCGCCCAAGACCGCCCCAAGACGGCCCAAGAAGCTTCCAAGAGGGCCCCAGGACAGCCCAAGAGGGCCCCAAGACGGCCCAAGAGGCGCCCAAGATGGCCCAAGAGGGCCCCAAGACGGGCCCAAGAGGGGGCCCAGAGGGGGACCACGAACCGCAAGCTCGAGCCTTCCGCCCCAAGAGGCCGCCAGGAGGCCCCAAGGAGGCCCCTCAAGAGGCCCCAGGAGACCCCCAAGAGGCCCAAAGGAGGCCCCGAGAAGCCCCAAATCGGCCCCCAAAATGCTTCGAACCTGCTTCCAGGAGGCCCCCGACAGGTTCAGAGGCTCCCGAGAAGCTACGTCAAACTCCCAGCGAGCGGCCGGACGAGGCCCCCCACAAAATCACAAGAGGGTTCCAGTATTTGTATCCTTCAGCGCTCTCTGGCCTTCTTCCCCCTGCCCCCTTCCCTGCGACTTTCGTTGACTCAAGCTCGCCTCCTAGCTAGAACCTAAGCGCGCGCGAAGCGCGCGCGTGGTTCTAGTTGTATATGTGCCAGCATTCGTGTCCAGGGTCAGACCATGACTACTATGTTTGCGCCTGCAATACCAATCCTGGGTACCAAGCGCACAGACACGAACGGCGGGACGTTGATCGGAAGTATGCTCAAGGAACACATCGAGCAAATGATTTTGCAGCTCATGCCGTATGATAAAATAATGGGTGCGGAGGAGTACGCCCTCAGCGCCCAGCGCGTATTCGACAATCACTCGCATCGCACGAAGCGTTGCCTGAAGATGGGCCAGTGGGTGTCTCTTGTCTAGTATCGTGGCAAGTCTTTGAACTGCAACAGGATGACACTTTTTTGACCGCCGGACGCGCTCGATCACGCCAGGGGGCGGAGGTGGGCAAGGCCTTGTAGAGGGAGGTTCTCTGCTGCCTCTGCGTCGCCAGGGTTCAAGAGAGCCCGCGCCATTGGCGGCCGAGCTCAGACCCGCGGGGCGAACCCCACGCCCGTGCCGTGCCCTTCTGTTGACACGAAGGATATCGAGACGCTACTTCGTGGAGCCCAGGAGTGCAGGGCTCGTTTCGATTCCTCCGATTCGATTCGATTTCGGTGGCTTCCGATTGCAATTCGATTCGGCTTCGGATTCTCATGTGGATTCCAATCTCTCAATGAAACCACACTGCTCTGCCGATTTCCGCCGATTCGACTCCTCCCGACTTGGCTGCCGCCGATTTCCGCCGATCCGAGTCATTTCGATCGCCGATTCGACTTATTAGGGGATCACATGCGAACCCTACCCCTACCCCCCACGATTTCTGAGGGGGAGGGTGGGGTAGGGTTCGCATGTGGCCCCCTACTTATCGATTCGGTTCTGGGCTCTCCTGGGGGATGGGCCGAGCCAGCTGAAGTCGGCGTGCAATCTCGTCACGCTGCCTTTCCCGCGTGAGGGCACTCTCTTCGAGCTTGCGGGCCAGCAGCGGCCCGGCCATATGCCGTGGGTGCCTGCTCCGTCGGGCGCTGGCTGCCACACGGCGGGGCTAGGGAAACGGTGCACCTCTTGTGCCCCGCGGTGGCCCTCAAGGGCCCCCCCTTTCTTTGTGACGCTGGCTCAGGCTTTGGCTACGTGGCTAAAGCGTTCTTTGGCCCCTCCTCCTCACCTTCCTCCTCCTCCTCCTCCTCCTCCTCCTCCTCCTCCTCCTCCCTCCTCCTCCTCCTCCTCCTCCTCCTCCTCCTCCTCCTCCTCTTCCTCCTCCTCAGGGGCACGAGAGGTGCGCGCTACTTCGCCCCTCGATTTCCGCGCCGCCACCCAGCAACGCCCAGCTCCCTCTGCGCGAAGGCTTCCAGGGCAGCCGGCGCCGCCGTGGCCGCCAGGCTCTGCGAGCTCCCTGCCGGGCCCCTCGCGCGGACGCAGCTCTGCAGCCTCCTCACAGTGGAGGCCCCTGCCAAGAAACACCCTGCTCGCCTCCAGGGTGCCATGGGTTTCCTGGGCTTCGATGATCTTGCGATGGTGAGCGCGACGCTCCCGCGCCAAACATCAGTGGACGTCCTGGGGTCTCAGGGCTGGCATTCTCGTGGAAGGTCTCTCGTGGACGTGCCTCCACTGTACCTCGAAGGCGGCGGCTGCGTATCCTGGGCCCCATGGGCGAGCCAGCGGATGCGACGACCGCGCCCAGACCGAGACCCGCTCCGCTTCGATCCGCTTCGCCGGCCAGGGCCGCGATTCCGATCCGCTCCGCTCCGCTCCGCTCCGCTTCGGCCCACCGGCGTCGGCGCCCGGGCCCGCAGGAGACGGGCGCGGCGATCCGAGCTCGGTTGGGCTCGGGGCGATCCGCTGGCGGTCCGACCCGTTCCCGATCCGATCCGCTTTCGCAGTCTGTCGGGCCGGGCGAAAGGGGGGAGATTGGGAAAGGGGGGGTTACGAAATTTGCTGCATGCAGCTGGTTTCGACTTCACCGACGGGCCCATTCCTCGATACATAGCCGCCTCCGGCGCCGGGAGGCGCCGGGAAAATCAGCTACGTGAGCTGATTCTCACCCCCCCCCCCTTTGCTATCCCCCCCTTTCGCCCGACCCGAGTCTGACCCGGCTCGGGCCTGCAAACGGTGCGCGACGAGCGCGCTCCCGGAGCAGCAGGGGTCAGGTTCAGCAGGGGGGCAAGCATCGACCCCCAATCGCCCATGGATCGCTGATAGGGGCCCGATAGCCCACGCCGCCCAGGATCGTGCGGGGTCTCGCTATCGGAGGCTCATCTCCGACCCATCGGCGACGTATCGCTGATTCCCGGTTGATGTTTCCCACCCTGTGCCAGTCCCTTGGTTCGGGGGCGGAAAAGAGGGGGGTGATGACTAGGGGGGGGTGGATATCATGGCGTGGGCCATGATATCTCCCCAGATTTCGTGGCGCCTCTTCTTACTTTATTGCGTCCCTGGCCCCCCCCGCTGGGCCGCGCACATGCCGCCGGTCATGATTTGCACCCCCCCCTCTTGGACACCCCCCTCTTGGCCGCTCCCGATTGGTGGTTTCTGGGTCATGGCTCGGGCCTCCAGCGGCCCTTCGGGACGATCCAGGCACCCCTGAAACGCTCCCAGTGCGGCGCAGCTGCTGGAAGAGGTACCTGGAGGCCCAGCGCCGATCCGAGAAACCCGCGCGGACCTCCGAGTTGTTCTGTTTCTGTCGCCGTTTGTTTCCCCACTGGAGCCGTCTTTTGGGCTGAGGCGGCCCAACACTGGCTGCGGCCAGCAGGAAGGTTGGGCAGGTTAGGTTCGAGGTTCTGGGTCTCGGAAGGCTTTGCCATCTCTCTTATGGCCTCGGGGGGCATTCTCGGGCCTGGGGAGAGTGAGAAACGGATCCGAAGCGAAGAGCTGCACCAGTGAGACTTCGGGAGTGGTCCTGGGGACAGATTTTGAACGGATTTGGCTTCATCCCCTCCTCCTCCTCCTCCTCCTCCTCCTCCTCCTCCTCCTCCTCCTCCTCCTCCTCCTCCTCCTCCTCCTCCTCCTCCTCCTCCTCCTCCTCCCCCTCCTCCTCCTCCTCCTCCTCCTCTCCTCCCCCCCTCCTCCTCCTCCTCCTCCTCCTCCTCCTCCTCCTCCTCCTCGCCTCCTCCTCCTCCGCCTCCTCGTCCTCCTCCTCCTCCTCCCTCCTTCTCCTTCTCCTTCTCCTTCTCCTTCTCCTTCTCCTTCTCCTTCTCCTTCTCCTTCTCCTTCTCCTTCTCCTTCTCCTTCTCCTTCTCCTTTATCCTTATCCTTATCCTTATCCTTATCCTTATCCTTATCCTTATCCTTATCCTTATCCTTATCCTTATCCTCCTCCTCCTCCTCCTCCTCCTCCTGCTCCTCCCCCCCGCTCCTGACTGATTTTCTGGGGCCCCGACCAGTTCAGACCCCTGGGCCGCCTGCGGCCCCCCCCCCCCCCCCTCCTGGACAGCCTGACCTTGTCGGCTGCGCAGGTCCGAACGGGGGTGCGCAGTGCTGGTGCGCGCGGGCATACGTGGGGCTGCCGAAAGCGTAATATGTTGGGTCATCGGCCGGCACCTCTCACCACCCACCAAACCACCCCAACCCAACCCGAAGGCCTCAAACTGACCTCCATTTCCAGTGAGGGGGGGGTCGGGGAACATCGAGAACACATATGGAACCCGTACCCCCCCCAACCCGAAATTCGGGTCTTCGGGTTGGGTTGGGGTGGTCTGGTAGGTAGTCACCACCCACTAATCCGGGTTATCGCCGGCAAATCGATAACGATCTCCAGCTCGTCGAGGGCAGGCGCGGAGGAGGCTCGAAGAACGAACAGCTGCACAAGCGTGCACTCTCGGACTTCCGCCCGGATTTCGTGGATCGGCGCTGGGCACCCCGGGCGGTGCCTCTGGCGCCGCCCCTGGTGCGCTGCGCGCGCT